GCTCGTTCGGTTCTTGGGTTGCGAAGGTTCTGAAAGATCCCATCGTTGAGCCGCTTGCTTGCGGGACCTGTCACTTCATCTAACCCAGCCGACGTGGCCTATTCGACCTGTGGTGTGCGAGGCTGCCCGTGCCAACGCCGGAAGCCTGCAGCTTGGAGGAACGAGCTCGGTGATGACGAATGATGCGCTGCACCAACCTACGAAGCCGCGATCCCTTGCCAGCTGCAAACCTTGTTGACCGCACTTCACGTTTCTTTCGTGCCGCCTGCTGAGCACGTGCAGGCAAGTCCAAACGCATGAGGCCAAAACGTCGGAGCACAAGTCCGGCCCGGAGTCGGTCATCGAAGCTGCACGTGCCGTAGACGGACCCAAACAAGTAGGGCCCATTTCAACTTGCGTTGTGATGAACGGAGACCTGTAAGCCCTATGAGCCCCTCATACACCCTCACTTAGTAGTAGAGTGGGTAACCTTTAGCCTTTTGGGGTCTATTCACTCTATATCATCCCAAAGCTTAACCGTTAGTTCCCCTAGAATACTGGTCCAAGTTTGGCCCAGCAGCTTCTACCTCCCACGCCGAATCTGCAGGGTCCGCTATATGGTTCTCAGAGGGCCCAGTACCCTTTAGGGTTTATTAGGGTCTATAGGGTATATAGGGTTTACAAGGTTTAAAGGGTTTTTAGGGGTTCTTAGCGCTTATGGATGTTGTGGGGTTTATAGGGTTTGTAGGGTTTTGCAGGGTTTTGTAGGGTTTATTGGGTTTATTGGGTTCGTAGGGTTTACAGGGTTAGTAAGCGCACAGGTTTTAAGTGGTTATAGTATTCAACGGGTCAGATGCGTATATACTTACATACCTATATAGATACACACACACACACACACATATATATATATATATATATATATATATGGTCTTAAGGCATCCTACAACAGCTGGCCCCCATAATTCCTGGGTTGACATGCTATGTTTTGGGCTCTAGACAAAATTTCAGCTGGGGAGTCATCCAGACACACATGGTCATAAGTCTTAAGGCATCCTATGACTTACTATGACAACGGACCCTAGAATCCCTGAGTTGAAAGGCTAGTCTTGGTTGCTCGAGGGAGGGGTTCCAGCTGAGGAGTGGCCCTCCCAACCGCCCTTCGGCCTGCTCCTCGCCGCCGAGCCTTGGCGGAGCCCCTGAGTCTTTAAAGCCCTCCGTAGGGGCTCTGAGGGTTTTTTGCGCAAAGAGGGCTTTAGAGATTGTTCTTAAAAAACTTTTAGCCTACGTGGGGTTTTGTTGAGGGTTTTGGGGGGTTTTGGGGGGTCAAAAAGGGCGCACGACATCCTCTACCTGCCATCCTCAACGTATCACAGGAGGAGCTCGAGATCAAACCCTAAACCCTAAACCCTAAACCCTAAGCCCTAAACCCTAAACCCTAAACCCTAAACAAACGGTCTCTTTGTCTGAGCCGGAGACCTGATCTCCGAAAGACTTCGAGGGCTCGAGGTCTGGCGCTTGGGGATGCCAAGCCCGAAGTCTGAGATGAAAGCCACCTAGCTAGGCCCTTGGAATACTCCTCGATCAGTGTTAGGGATCCTTTTTACTTTTTGGGTTATGGGCTTTCTTATATATGAACAAAAAGGATCCTTTTTTCTTCCTAGGGGAACAGGGATTAAGTCATATTTCCCTTCATTTGGGGTTTAAGAGGATCACATCTAGGACTACTTTGCAGAGGATATTTGGGCTTAAGAGGATCATGTTTCGGACTACTTTTTCAGAGAATATTGGGTTTAAGAGGATCATATTTCGGGCCATTTTTTTCTCCAGAGGGAATTCAAAGGGCCATCCTTGGCCAGCTGCCCTTTCTGTAGGACTGCCTCTACGACACGGGGAACGTGGCGCCCTTCGTCGCCTCGCTGTCCTCAATGGCAGGCGCCGAGAGCGAGGCGCGGTCACTGGTTTACAGCCGAACCACTTGGTTTGGGGTTTAGGGTGTAGGGGCCAAAAGTACCCAGACCCCGCAACTCCCTCAGAAACCCGACAGCCGAATGTTCAGAAACATTTCTACGGAGTCGCAACCCGAAATCCTACCCCTCCACCCTGCGCCCCTCAACCCCTCAACCCCCCAACCCCTCAACCCCTCAACCCCTCAACCCCCAACCCCCTCAACCCTCACAACCCCTCACCCCCGCAACCCCTCAACCCCTCAACCCCTCACTCACCCCTCACCCCCTCAACCCCTCAACCCCTCAACCCCTCAACCCCTCAACCCTCACCCCCTCAACCCCTCAACCCCTCAACCCCTCAACCCCCCTCCCCCTCCCCCCTCAGCCCCTCAGCCCTCAGCCCTCTCACCCCTCACCCCTCAGCCCCTCAAACCCTCCACCCCCAACCCCAACCCTAAAACCCTAAAACCCTAAACCCTAAACCCTAAAACCAAAACCCTAAACCCTAAACCCTAAACCCCTAAACCCTAAAACCTAAAACCCTAAAACCCTAAAACCCTAAAACCCCTAAAAGCCCTAAAAAAACCCTAAAACCCTAAAACCCCCCTAACCCTAAACCCTAAAGCCCTAAACCCTAAAACCCTAAACCCTAAAAACCCTAAAGCCCTAAGCCCTAAAAAACCCTAAAACCCTAAAACCCTAACCCTAAAACCCTAAAACCCTAGAACCCTAAAACCCTAAAACCCTAAAACCCTAAAACCCTAAAACCCTAAAACCCTGAAACCCTCAAACCCTAAACCCTAAACCCTAAACCCTAAAACCCTAAAACCCTAAAACCCTAAAACCCTAAACCCTAAAACCCTAAAACCCTAAAACCCTAAACCCTAAACCCTAAACCCTAAACCCTAAGCACCCTAAACCCTAAACCCTAAACCCTAAAGCCCTAAAACCCTAAACCCTAAACCCTAAACCCTAAACCCCGGAGGCCCCGATATCCGAGGCCCTGGTGTCCTTCGACACCGCCTTGGGGCGCTGGGGCGCGTACGCGGCCTTCGAAGCCATGGCCAAGGACCTCTGGGTTTAGGGTTTAGGGTTTAGGGTTTAGGGTTTAGGGTTTAGGGTTTAGGGTTTAGGGTTTAGAGTCCTATCATGGTAGGAAAAGTAGTAATCATCTCGGCAATAATGAAAAAGAAGGAATAATAACAACAAGAGCAATGAGGAGAATATGAATACTCGTAATAGGGCTTAGGGTTGAGGGCGGCACATGGGGCCGGAGTTTGCACGGGTGCGCGGGCAGGTATTCTTTGGAGTATGTTAAGGGCGGGGCTTTGCAATTTGCGTGGGGTTGCCCTTCGGGGCTGCTGGGATTCAGGATATCAGGCAGCATTTGCAGGCTTTCGGAAGAAGCGCGGAGTTCTTCTGCGGAGGTGTGCCTAGCTGTGAGTCGTCTTGCTTCAGAAGGCGCAGCTATCACACCTTCAACCCCTAAACACCACAACACCCTAAGCTCATGATGAGCCACACCTAATTGAACCCTAAACACAAAAATTAGTCTGCATGAAGGAGCAATGGCAGTCGGTGGAGGAGCTGCCCCGCGAGTGGCAACATCCCAAGTTCCGCAAGGACGAGGTGAAGGTGTTTCGCCTGGCGGGCCCCTGCAGAATTCAAAAGGAGCGCGATCTGGAAAACCCTATCAACCCGGAAAACCCTGAAAACCGTGCAAACTCCTTAAACCCTAGCCCGATAAACCCCACGAACTCTATAAACCCTATGAACCCTTAAAGCATATAAACCCTGTTAACCCTCCTATCCTAATCCCACAGAACTCTATTACGTCCTTCTACGATGGGAAGCGGAAGCCACCAACTGATCATCTTTGAATAGATGGCTCCTTGACCCGTTCGTATTATGCGACATGAGGGGTCCCGCCGGGGGGCCTTTACATGGGGAGTTCGACTTTATGTTTCATAAGGAACCACTTGTGAACGCTTTTACGCCTCCCTACCCCCCTGGGTTCCTAAAAAAGATTTGGGGTATATATAGTTATAATTCTGTGGGTTGGTGGTCTCTTTGAGTAGGGTTTCTGTAGTGTCGGGGCCATATTCTGGTTTCTTATTCGGGTATCAATTAAGGTTATAAGGGTAACCGGCCCTTTTCAGGAGAATGTAAGGGACACCGAATCTGTGGAGACGAGGTGTAGGACGTTCCTATTCGGACAAAGGGCCACGCCTTTGGGGGGTCCCGTCTAAACCCTTTTTCTATCCTTGGCCGGGATACTGACGAAGAGGGCTAGTAGCGCAGGATGGGCCCACTCTACCGGTTTAGGGTTTAGGGTTTAGGGTTTAGAATTTCGGGTTTAGGGTTTAAGTTGGTTGGTGGACCGCAGTGGCATATGTACCTTCCTGCCATGCCCGACAGAAGTATGCTTACGATTGCCGCAGCGAGCGTTTTGCCACTGCCAGGGGGCGTCACCATAAGGGTGGTCCGTTTTCAACCCTAAGCCCTGAGCCCTAAATCCTAAACCCTAAACCCTAAACCCTAAACCCCACAGCCACCTGGGAGCTCCCTTCCTGAAGTTGTCCTTGGGGGATCTAGAATCCAAGCTGAGCCGCCATGGATCCACCGGCCGCCCACATGGGGTCTGGCAGCGCGCAGCCACAGCCCCTCGCCTCAGTGCAGGGCATAGGGTTTAGGGTTTAGGGTTTAGGGTTTAGGGTTTAGGGTTTAGGGTTTAGGGTTTAGGGTTTAGGGTTTAGGGTTTAGGGTTTAGGGTTTAGGGTTTCGGGTTTCGGGTTTAGGGTTTAGGGTTTAGGGTTTAGGGTTTAGGGTTTAGGGTTTAGGGTTTCTAACAGGGTTTAGGGTACCTTACCTCAGACCACGCAGGTGCCGAGTGGGTAGCCTCCATCAGGCTTCAACTGTTTTTTGGATCCCGCCAAGTCCCAAAGAATAATCCCCAAACCCTAAACCCCAAACCCCAAACCCCAAACCCCAAACCCTAAACCTTAAACCCTAAACCCTAAACCCTAAACCTCAACCCTAAACCCTACACGCGAAGCCCTAAACCCTTAACTTTAAGCTTAAGTCCCCCCCCCCCCATTGTTTCTGAGCCACGCGATGTCATTGCAGTGTGACACCCCGAGGCAGCCTTTCGTGATCTCGAAGGCCCTGGTTCTGGGCATCGTGGAGCCTGAGGTTGATGTTGGAATTGGGGGTTTGGGGTTTGGAGTTCAGGGTTTAGGGGTTGGGGTCTGAGGTTTAGGGTTTAGGGTTTCGTGTTTTTCCATGACCCCCCCCCCCCCCCCCCCCCCCGAAAAACGAGAGTCCTTGTTTCCCTTGAAGTAGATGGCCATCAACCTTAAATCCAACGAGCCCCAGGTACTCCAAAATACGATAGGGGGCGCTTAGAAGGGACGTTAGGGGAATCTCAGGGGTTATTTAGAGCTACTGAGGTTAGGGACAGCTTTAGGGACTATATAGGGGTTGTTTTGGGGAGAAGCCTAAGGTTTATGGGGCCCATTAAACCCTTAGACCCTAAACCCTAAGCCGTAAACCCTAAACCCTAAACCCTAAACCCTAAACCCTAATCCCTAAACCCTAAACCCTAAACCCTAAACCCTAAACCCTAAACCCTAAACCCTAAACCCTAAACCCCAAACCCCAAACCCCAAACCCTACATCCACCCCAGGAGTACGCCAACTGGGGCAGGCTGGAGGGTGCCGCTGCGGATGCGGCCCTCTCCAAGCAGCTGCTGGATGAACTGGGGGTCGGGAAAGTTGCCACGGTGCTGCAGGGCAAGGCGGGGGGGTGCCGGGCTCAGGGTTTAGGGGTTGAGGGTTTGGGGTTTAGGGTTGAGGGTTTAGGGTTTGGGCTTCCAAATAACCGGGGGCCCTTTTTGTTGGGGGGCCTGTTGCTTCCAAGGGCTCCGAGTGGTAGAGGGTGGCTGCAGGGTGACCCTTGTGTAGAGCAGCCCAGAGGTGATGCAGGCCGAGCTGCGCGAAGCTTTGGAACAATGGGTTCGGGACATTCCCGACGCCACCCGCCATCACGAGCGGCCGGTGCTCATCGGCTTCTTTAGTTGCCACGGCATGATGAAGGCGAAGAACTTCCCGCTGCTTCTTGCGTCGGATGCTCCACGCGAAGAGGAGGTCTCCGAGGTCTTCGATGTCGAAGAGCAGCTGCTCGCGCCAATCAACCGAATCCAGCTTGAGAAGGGTCGTCGGCTGCGAGTGATCCTGGTTTGTGACTGCTGCCTGTCTCCAATGCATGGCATGAAGCACGACACGTGGAAGGTCAGGGGGCGTTCTTTTGGTCCCAGCTGCCATGACTTCTACTTCTTGTTCGCCTGTGACCCAGGACTCGAGACACTCGAGCATCCGAGAGGCGGTGCTTTGATGCAGGAGCTGCTGCCTCGGTTGCGCCAACCGAAGCCGATTGATCAGATCTTCAACGAAGTCAGCGCAGCCGTGGCGCAGAAGTCGGAGGAGTCACGGAGGATGTCACAGCGACCATGGGCAGTATTGCGGCTTTCGGAACAAGGCCTGGTCTTGGCCGAGTGCGAGCCGGCGGTGCCGATAGTGGTAGCCCTGGTTGGCGAGACGGGCGCTGGAAAAAGTACCTTGGGCAACGCCCTTCTGGGAGAGCCAAAGTTCAAGGTGTCCGGCGGCTTCAAGTCTGAGACTTCTGGGGTGCAGCAGGCTGAGGCGGAGTTTGAAGGCTGTGCTCTGCGTGTTTTCGATGTTCAAGGCTTCGGAGACAACCGCGAGGGCCAGGAGGTCTTTGATGCAGGCATGCTTCCCTCAGATATAGATGCCTTCCTCTTTGTACACAGCTGTGGCCGTTTCACCGCCCGTCACTTGACCATGCTTGACCAGCTTCGGAGGGCCACGCGCGCACCCCCAGAGCGTGCCTAGGTAGGCCCTTGGGACATGGTTTTAATCTTCCCTTCTTGGGCTTAAGAGGATCATGTTCAGGAACATTCTTCAGAGGGTTTTGAGGGACATCCTAGGTATCTTGCTGGTGTCTCAAAGGCAAGTAGCCAGGCTGAGCTCTCACAGGAGCAGTTTACATCGTATGTGTTGGAGGAATCCCAGCAGTGCCCTGTTTTGCGCGACGAGCTCGCGAGGGTGGATGCGGTGATTGCGACGGAGTGCGACTCGGATCACGGGCGCGACCGCGCCCGCCGCGTTCTTTGTGATCGGATTCGGGCGCTGGCGGCAGGCAACATGCGGGGCAAGTTGCACATCCCCGGCTCCTCCGGATCGAACGGGCTGCAAGACAGCCCTCCGAGTCAAGCAGCGACGATGCGTCCAGCTTCGACTCTATCGGGGCCGGCAGACAGAGGTCCTGGTCGTCCCACCCTTGCAGGTGCAAGATCCAGGCAAAAACGGCCAGCACCCGAGCAGCGCCCTCAAGGAGAAAACCGGCCCTCTCTTCAAAGGGCCTCAGCATCAAACGAATCCCGGGCGCAACGAAGTGATGGACCAGACATCGGAAAGGTGTTTCAGGCCTTCAGAGCAGTGGGTGACACCTTTGCAGAGACACCAGACGTCCGAGACAATGTGGGGGCACGAATGTTCGTTGACGCCTGGAGGTCAGGAGTTGGTTTTATGGCTGACCGCCACTGGCAGAAGCAGGTGACGGACATGACAAACATGGGCTTCGCAGCCATCGACGCTCGAAGAGCTTTGGAAGCAACGGCGGGTGATGTCCAAGAAGCTGTAAACATCCTCTTGACTCAAGAGTCTTGAGCTAGTCGGTGATACCGAGTTCCCATGGCCTGTCTTGTCCAAGATGAGCTGCGGACGCTTGTGCGCTCCAGCATGTTGCTTGGCTGCGAGCACGTGAGCGCCGAAAAGAGACTCCTTTGCAGTCGGCAGGGGTCCAACCCCACAAGGTACCCAAGGCCCCCCTCTAGGCCTCAAAGCTAGCGCCCTTCGTCTGGGCATCTTATGGGTCTTAGCTTCACGTACAGTGGACGTACAGGTAGAAGTAGAAGACCAAGTGGAAGTAGCGCAAGGAGCGGCGCAGTAGCAATGATCTACGTACTGCCTTTAGCTGCAGCAGTTGTGAGTTGCGGAAGCGAGTGGACTGCCAGCGCACGAAACTGGAGGCCATTTTGAGTCCCTAAATCTGACGTATTGTATAGTAGCTACCCTAAACCCTAAACCCTGTAACTACCAGCTTCATGTTGTGCATAGACATACTGCAGTAGACTGTTCCATGCCGCAACCTGCTTTACCAAAGCTGCGCTGCCATGGTGCGTCTTAAGTTTCTTCGCACGTTGAGGAAGGTGAAACCAGTGAAACCTATGCACTTGGACTAGATTCTGTACTGTAATCCCTATCCTTCCAGGAACCTAATGGATAGGTTACTAGAGCCCCTCAGGACCGTATAAGTAGGTCCCTGGAAGGATAGGGTAGTGTCCTAAGGTATGCAGATACTGTTGTTGATGTCAATATCTCCGCTATCGCAATTGCTAGCAGTACATCGACGACGATGAAGGTTCTCTCGGCACCACTACTGCTGTGCACTAAGCCTAATGCTCACCGAAACGATCAGCTCGCATTTCAGCTTCAAGCCGATTTTCAAGCGCACGCTTTTCCATGAAGTGGCCTGGCGAGCACCGTTCTTGTGTGGTTGTCATCAGCGTTTTGTGGGAGGATTCGGCAAACCCACTCTCCTCTGCGTTCATCCCGAAGGCCACACTGCCACCGCCCGAAGCCAGTCGAACACAGTTTGGGACATTTTTTTTACGTTGGGCTGCGTAGATGGCCTCCTAGAACCCTAAACCCTAAACCCTGAACCCTGAACACTAAACCCTGAACACGAAACCCTCAACCCTATAAACCCCAGCCCCCAAACCCTGAAATCCATGCGGCTGGATTTCAGTTCTGGAGCCCAAGAACTTCGATGCCCGGTTCCCCCAAATGCAGAGAGCTTCAGTGAAAAAAGGCTGCTTTTCGGGGCCTTAACAGCTAGAATTGGGTTTCGGGTTTTGGGTCTTAAGGTTTAGATTTTGGGTTTCAGGGTTGCGATAGTATACTTATGTAGGGACCACAAGGGAAGACTATTTAATAATATCATTCCGGCCCCTGTATGACTTTACGCAAGGAACGAACCCGTGAAGTCCTTCCCCTACCACAGTTCTTCCCCTCCGACACTCGAACCCCTGAAACGACACCGTAAACCCTAACCCTAAACCCTAAACTCCTAAACCCCCTAAACCCCCTAAACCACCTAAACCCCCTAAACCCCCTGAACCCCGGAAACCCCCTAAACCCCCTAAGCCCCCAAGCCCCTAAGCCCCTAAGCCCCTCAAGCCCTAAACCCCTAAACCCTATAAACCCTATAAGCCCTGAGTCCTTGGAACAAAAACTCAGCAAAGGTGAGGCATGGGAAGGCGGCTGCCGCCTCTCCTTCTGCTGGGGGTGGCTGCACTCCCTGGCGCCCTTGCGCCTTGCCAAAGCCGTTTTTCGGGTTTGATCATCACGTACTCAGGTTGTTCTGCGTATCTTGGCAACTATGGATCATGGACCTCCAAGTAGCCAAAGCGAAGTTAGAAGAACATGCTGGCCATTTGTGAGTGGAGACCTTGAGGGGCTGCTAGAGGTCCCTGAGGCGATGCTTTGTGCCAGGTTTTCCATTCCCACGACTTGCAGCTCATGCAAGGGGTCGCGCCCAAAGCTGTAAACCAAGTTGGCTTTCGAATGGCTTCGGTACATGAGAGGATCCCTGCACAGCCCCAACCGCAATCCTCAGAACATTTGAAATCCCTTGCCCCCGCGTCCTGCGCTGTAAATCATGCTCCAATCGGTGAAGATGCAGGCACATCGGCCGCTCCTTCCTAAGGCCTCCTGCTGCTCGGCCAGAAAGACGCATTTTAGGATGGAGAATATAAGTTTTGGGTGGAGGCTTCAAGGACTGGATTTGGGTGTTTAGGGTTGTCTGGGATTTCGGCTCGTTGCGGGTTTTTGCGTGCTTAAAGCCTTTGGAGTTTCAAGGATCTGGGTGTAGGGTTTGGGGCAAAAAAGGCTAGGGATAACAGTGGCCGCAACAGACAGCCCCGATAAAGCCCTCCTTCCTAAGCCATAAACCCCGAACCCTAAACCTTGGCCCTAAACCCGAAACCCTTATGCCTAAACCTAATTAGGTGACTGCCTTATGCCTTGACATTTGAATCTCGGCGCGATGCTCGTTTGCATCCACCATGTAAGTCCCTACCAGAAGTCTTGAATCCTAAGCCCTTGTACTCGTTCAGGGTTTCGGAGTTTAGGGTTTAGGGCTGCTGCTGCTTCTTCCCTTTTTTGCCATTCTCTATCTGCAGGCCACGGCGGCAGCGTAGAGGTACTTGTAGGTACCTTTGGTTTCCTTCGTTCCTAGTAGCTGTGAAAGTTGGTTTGCTGGTGCGATTACACCTGTGGTGTCGCTGTCCGTAATACAAGAACTGCTGTTGTTACCCGAGCCGTTATTCTGATGTTGTTTCAACTGTCAGCCTTGCTGTGTTCGTGATATCTATTTTATACTAACACTCCTTAATAGGGATGATAGCACCCCCTATTATAATCCCTATTAAGGAGCTGTTAGAATAAAGAGGGAGCATCCCAAAGTTCCTACGTTTCGTAGGTAATTTCGAAGCGGACGGATGAACGTGTATCATCAAGCTTCTCACCCTGAGTGCGACTGTGCTTCGATATTGAACCGTTTCTGTTTTTTTCTGACGCTGAAGAGACGCCCTACCCTAAACCCTATACCCTAAACCCTATAAACCCTACAAACCCTAAACCCTATAAACCCTAAACCCTATAAACCCTAAACCCTAAGCCGCAAAACTGCTTTGCCTTCTCTCGCAGCCCCCAAAAGTTCCTTGAACTGAAGCAAAACGAAGCAAAGGCGGCAGCGACTTCAGCTCCTCAGCGACCGCCCTCGATGTGCCGGACCCCACCATGCTCCTGGCAGCAAGAAGACGAACAATTGCGGGGTTGAGGGTTTAGGGTTGAGGGGTTTAAGGTTAAGGGTTTAGGGTTTAGGGGTTTAGGGGTTTAGGGTTTAGGGTTGAGGGGCTGAGGGGTTGAGGGGTTGAGGGGTTTAGGGGTTTAGGGGTTTAGGGGTTTAGGGGTTTAGGGGTTTAGGGGTTAGGGGTTTAGGGGTTTAGGGGTTTAGGGGTGTAGGGGTTTAGGGGTTTAGGGGTTTAGGGGTTTAGGGGTTTAGGGGTTTAGGGGTGTAGGGTTTATGGTTTTAAGGGTTTTATAGGGTTTAGAGGGTTTGTAGCAGCAGTAGTAGCAGTAGATTGGGATGTTCCCCCTTCTACTTACAGTCCTTAATAGGGATTGTAATCGAGGGTACTAGAGGACGGCTAGTATATAAAGGGAACATCTCAAGCAGCAGACATGAATGAAACCTCTTTTGCGCGCTGCGGGCCCTGCCACCACGACATTGAAGCCTCTCATGCCCCTCAGGGCTTAGAGCCTAGGGTTTAGGGTTTAGTAGCTTGAATATCCAAGACAGGACTGTGCGGGAGACATCTTGTTATGTTTACGCTCAAATGCATGTTGCGTGGTATGGGTAGTGAGGGTGATGTCAGCCGGGAGGCCTTCACCTTCACAATCGTGCCGTTAGGTTTCTCTGCGAGCTAGACCAGAGTGAGAAGTTGCGCTGATGCTGCTTCTTGACGTCCAGTTCATCTTAAGATGGCGAGTGCGCCACACAGGCTAGAAGTTTCCTGCGCTCTCAGCAGTTTTGCATACCGCTGGGCGAGTAATTGGGGACTCATAGAATACAGACCACACCCAATTGTCTCTGTGTGAGAGCACCCAAGACTTCTTAAACCTCAGCCGCCCACTGACCCCAAGCCAAGAACCCTTGGAAAGACGGAAGGTTGTTTTCGTATGGTGGTTTCCGAAATTGGGGTACCGGATTAGGGTCCACTTAGAAGGGAATCCTGCTATTGGGGGTCAATTTTTCCGGGTCCTTGAATTGGAAACTCCCTTTCACATCAGCTACCAAACCCTCAACCCCCTTGCCTAAAGATATTGAAAACCGAGCCCTCCATTCGCCCAAGTCAATGGCCTGAGCCCTAAACCCTAAGCCCTAGGCCTAAACCCTAAATCCTAAAACCTAAACCAGCTCTAAAATCTCAAGCCTCAGTCCAAAATCCTATTCCCTAAGCCAAGCCTATTCCTAAGCCTGGAGCCTCAGACCTCAAAGCCCGCAAGTCCCCCTAAACCCCAAACCCCGAAACCCCACAGCCTTGACCCTAAACCTAAACCCCCAAAACCAAAAAATCTGGACCCTAAACCCATAAACCCCGAAATCCTAAACCACTGAACTCCCCCCCTCCTCCCAACAAAAGCAACAATCCTAAACTCTTCAACCCTAAACCCCACAACCCCTCTTCCCTAAACCCTCAATCCCCTTAACCCTTAAACCCTCGAAACTGCTAAGATCCTAAACCCTCAGCCCTAAACCCTAAACCCCTTAACTCCCCCAAGAAAGTCCTGCTCAGATCCTGGTCCTTCAAACACTATCTTGACTGCAACAGCAGAGCTGCTCGGCTTGACACTCAGGGCCACAGTCCTGGGGGACGAAAAGAAACCTTGAAAGGGATTGTGGAGATCATCGGGTTTAGGGTTTAGGGTTTAGGGTTTAGGGTTTAGGGTTTAGGGTTTAGGGTTGGAGCGGGTATGTCATCTTTAGGGCCCGTGTTCAGGGTTTAGGGTCTTGGGTCTACTCTGGGAGTTGTGTCTGGGTGCATGCTTTGAGCCCCCTCTCCCCACGTGCCTGCCCTTCCCCTGCAAAAAAAAGCAAAGCGAAACCTCAACCCTCAACCCTCAACCCTCAACCCTAAACCCTGAACCCTAAACCCTAAACCCTGAACCCTGAACCCTGAACCCTGAACCCTAAACCCTGAACCCTGAACCCTAAACCCTATGCAGCCTTATGGCGCTATAGAGGACTTTAAGATGCTCTTCAAAGAACTATTTGCCCAAGGCGCTCCCCTCTGAACAAACACCCTTCACCTGCGGTATCCTTTGGCACTTTTTTTGGTTCCAGGTTCCTTTGTACAGCAGCCAACAATCAAAAAGGAAACCCTAAATCCTAAACCCTAAGCCCTTTGTTATGATATGGTTAATATGGTTACTGGGCTACCAAGACCTAACTGACGGGTTTTTGCTCGGGTCAACGTAGCGACGGAAATGATGATGCTGGGTAGTGCTACCTTGGCCTTCTAACTGTTGCTTTGTGACCACAGAACTTTTTTTCAACATTAAGCATCAGTAGGTCCTGAACCCTCAACAGTCAGCCCCTAAACCCTAGACCCCCTGCTCCTCCAGTTCTTGCGCCCAGTTGGTGCTTTAAATGCCCTGGCTTCCTGCTTGAAGGTTCGTGAGTACTTCCTTAACCGACCCCACTTAGAACCTTAAACCCGAAACCCTAAACCCTAAACCCTAAACCCGAAACCCGAAACCCGAAACCCGAAACCCTAAACCCTAAACCCTAAACCCTAAACCCGCCCGCCACCCCACTCTCTTGTCTTTTGGGGTAGGCGGGCGCTGGTCGAGCGCTCAGTGAGACCCTGCGAGGGAGCCCCAGGCGGGCGACCGAGCTGGCCTCCAGGCAGCTTACCCTCCAGGCAGGCACAGGCCGAGACAGCAGTAGTCACTGTATTATATTACCCTAAACCCTGTCCGCGCACATTCTTGGCTCCTGCATTGGGAGGCCCCTGGAGACCCCTGGGTCCCAACCCCCGTCCGCTGGGCTGAGGGGACCAGGGGCCGTTTTGTTGGGGCAGGCAGGGCTCTGGCCAAAAAACTCCCTTTTGCCCTGGCCTGGCCTGGCCTGGCTCCCTGGCCCTGGCCCGGCCCTGGCCCTTGGCCCTGGCCCTGGCCCTGGCCCTGGCCTTGGCCCTGGCCCTGGCCCTGGCCCTGGCCCTGGCCCTGGCCCTGGCCCTGGCCCTGGCCAGGGCCTGGCCCTGGCCCTGCCCTTGGCCCTGGCCCTGGCCCTGGCCCTGGCCCTGGCCCTGGCCCTGGCCCTGGCCCTGGCCCTGGCCCTGGCCCTGGCCCCTGGCCCTGGCCCTGGCCCTGGCCCTGGCCCTGGCCCTGGCCCTGGCCCTGGCCCTGGCCCTGGCCCTGGCCCTGGCCCTGGCCCTGGCCCCTGGCCTTGGCCCTCAGGCCCTCAGGCCCTCAGGCCCTCAGGCCCTCAGGCCCTGCCCCTCAGGCCCTGGCCCTGGCCCTGGCCCTGGCCCTGCCCTGGCCCTGGCCCTGGCCCTGGCCCTGGCCCTGGCCCTGTGGCCCTGGCCTGTTCGAGTCATCTTACCCCCTTGCGCCAAGCCAAGCTGTCCGCGCACCAGTTTGTGTCCTGTTTCGGGGCTCTCAAAGCCCCTTCGCGCCAACCCAATCTGTCCTGCCTCACTTCCATTTGCTGCAACTTTGTGCCTGGTCCTGACCCTGGCCCGGCACCCCACCTTACCCCCTTCGCGCCAAGCCAAGCTATCCGCCACACCAGCCCTGTTTCCGTGGCGCTCTGCCCAACCCAAGCTGTTCACTGTGTGTTCTTCCTGGCTGGAGCCCCTTCGCGCCAACAAGCCTCCCTGCCTTTCTCTGTTCCGTTTCCGTCTGCTGCAGCTTTGCGCCTGGTCCACGAACCTTGTGGAATTCCCCAAAAAGGGCGTGAGCGCTGACTCCTTGACCCTGACCCGGCCTGTTCGAGTCATCTTACCCCCTTGCGCCAAGCCAAGCTGTCCGCGCACCAGTTTGTGTTCTTTTTCGGGGGGCTTTAGCCCCTTCGCGCCAGCCCAATCTGTATTGCCTCGCTCCGCTTGCTGCAACTTTGTGCCTGGTCCTGACCCTGGCCCGGCACCCCACCTTACCCCCTTCGCGCCAAGCCAAGCTATCCGCCACACCAGCCCTGTTTCCGTGGCGCTCTGCCCAACCCAAGCTGTTCACTGTGTGTTCTTCCTGGCTGGAGCCCCTTCGCGCCAACCAAGCCTCGCTGCCTTTGTCCGTTCCTGGCCCATCCCTTCATAGCCCCTTCGCGCCAACCCAAGCTGTCTTCACGGACCCTGCCTCGTTTCCGTCTGCCGCAGCTTTGCGCCTGGTCCACACACCTTGTGGAAATCCCCAAAAAGGGCGTGAGTGCTGACTCATGTGATGGCTTGTAAAAAAATAAAAGGTCTTAACTTCTTGAGAGTTGTAAGTGGGCGGTTTTGGGGTGGGTAGGTCTGCAGACTACCGCGCGCTCCCAAAGCGCGCTCCCGTTTGGCACGCCCTAAACCCTAAACCCTAAACCCTAAACCCTAAACCCTAAACCCTAAACCCTAAACCCTAAACCCTAAACCCTAAACCCTAAACCCTAAACCCTAAACTTAAACCCTACTCATAAGTACCCATGAACCTCGACGTGCAGGCTGTGTGGATGACTTGGCAGAATCCCCAGGTGCCATGGATGCCAGGGCTTTGATAGGGTTTAGGGTTTAGGGTTTAGGGTTTAGGGTTTAGGGTTTAGGGTTTAGGGTTTAGGGTTTAGGGTTTAGGGTTTAGGGTTTAGGGTTTAGGGTTCATTTGGGCACTTTTAAGTAGGGCTGTCAGCACCTTAGAGTTAGGAGTTGACTGGCTTGTACTAGGTAGGCCCTTGGGAATTGCTCTCCTATTGGGTGTAAGAAGGTCACATTTAGGAAAATATTTGCAGAGGGGTTTTAAAGGGCCATCCTAGATGTCATCATGTGCCAAATGTACTGATGATACGGCTAGTTGTTTACCATAGGCCGCGCATGATGTGAATGCCTTTATCATACTGTATGATACGGCAGACAGGAGTCTTTCTGCGCGGAAGTGTGCAAGGCCTGCAGCTTTCGGGTAATTGTGAGATTCTGTTGGTGGCCTCCAGTCGCTCGGACATACACAGAGAGAAACGGAAGCCGCTGTAGTTGGCCGTGTAGAGATTTGGGCCCACGTCCTTGAACCTTCGTGATTTAGACTTCTACGTTGTGCGTACTGTTTCAGAAGTACCCCAGGCAAGGTTACAGCCACCAGAGTTTCACTACTTTAAGTCTACTGTTAAGTACCCATGAACCTGCTAAGAACAAAGAAGTTTGTTCCCATCTCCTTTTGATTCAAAGCGGTGAAACTCGAGCGACTTCAGGACGTTACTACTTTAGAATCCAAAAGCGGGAAGAACTCAAGAGCAGTTGCCAACTTTAAACATGTCACAGCCGTATGCAATCAGAATTGTAACGACGTTGAGCTTTAGAGCTTTAAGTGCGTAAGACACTGAAGTTTTGGTTTCGAGCCGTTGAAAGTCTTGTAAGCTGCACGGCTTGGGAGAAGGCCAAACCGAAAGAACTGCAAGTCTCAAGCATTCTAGAATACAACCTTTGCAACCTTTCTGAGCCACAAAACGGTTGACAAGATTAAACGCCATCTGTGAACATGAAGGATAAAGCACTGAGAAATTCACATTTTGATAAATCTGAGCTTTCTCACTCTACGTGCTCGAAACAAATGCCTGTAAGGGTTTATAGCTATTCATATCTCTTAAGAGCTTGAACACCGATAGAATTCAATAGATCAGACAGTCAGACGTTGGACTTTTTGATGTGAACATCTGAACCACCCAAACGAACGTTCGAGCTCTTAAAGTTTAAGTGCTATGACTTGTAAGCTGTTTAGCAGCGCGAAGCTTCAACCTGTTTCGCCCCTTGAAACTATGTCAAATGAGGGGCGATTAGACATTGTTAGACAGAATAATTTCAAGGCTTTTTTCAAGTGTTTTGAACTTGAAAGCTTTCATGTTCTCAACTTGTCGTAAAGAGGAACTTGAGGTCAAGCAGCACATCAAACATTCCAAGATTGCGGCGCCATCTAGCTGTAGCTAGGACCTTATTTCCTTTTTTAGGGTTGGGGCTCCCTTATAACCCCCTTAAAGCCACAAAGGATACCCTGTTTATTCCTAGATTTTCCTGGGTCGAGGTTACCTCTGAGCTTCCTCCCTCCAGCCTAGTAGCAGTCCTACTTCAGTAGTTATCACTGGGGGCCATGAGTAGGGTAACTATAGCTAGAACTGAGCCTAGCCTTACTTGAGGTACTTACAGCCCTAGTAATGACTGCCCATGAACCTCCAGGTAACCCTCAACCCTAAACCCCAAGCCCCAAACCCCAAACCCCCAGACCCTAAACCCTCAACCCCAAACCCCAAGCCCCAAGCCCCAAACCCCAAACCCCAAACCCCAAACCCCAAACCCCAAACCCCAAACCCCAAACCCAAACCCCAGACCCCAAACGCCAAACCCTAAACCCTAAACCCTAAACCCTAAACCCTAAACCCTAAACCCTAAACCCTACACCCAAAACCCTGTGAAGACCAGGCCGGCCAGCTCTTCTACATCGGTGTGGGAATCCCTCCGCAAGCCCGCTTCGCAGACCTGCGCGCGGACGCCGTCCTCATTGGGCCAGGTCGGGAGGGTTTAGGGTTTAAAGGGTTTAGGGTTTAGGGTTTAGGGTTTAGGGTTTAGGGTTTAGGGTTTAGGGTGTAGGGTGCAGGGTGCAGGGTGTAGGGTGTAGGGTGTAGGGTGTAGGGTGTAGGGTGTAGGTTTTAGGGTTTCGGGTTTAGGGTTTACAAGACAAAGCCCGCTGGAAGCCAAACCTTACCCTTAGGCTCAAAGTAGCCCCAAAAACCCTCTATAAGAAGGCGTTTTGGCCCGAAAACTCTTTAAACAAGAGGCCTTAGAGCCGATTAGAGTTATGTAAACTCGAAGCCCCGAACTCTAAACCGCAAGCTGGGATCTTGTGGCTCGTTTATTTGCTTTGCTGACGTCACGCCATGGTAGGGTTCTGCGCCCGGGAGCAGTTGCGAGAATGGCACCGGCAGCTATTTTTTTGTGTTCCAAGCGCCCGAAGACGGAAGCACAAAGAAGTGAATCATCGACAAATCGTTCCATTCTGCAGTTCTGCATCCTGTCTGCGCATGAGAATGATGTAAAGCGCTGCAGAAAGACAGGTAGGTATGACATGCATGGGCTGGGGGTTTGCGAGCTGGAATCCTTTTGTTCGGGCATTCAGCCCTAAACCCTAAACCCTAAACCCTAAACCCTAAACCCTAAACCCTAAACCCTAAACCCTAAACCCTAAACCCTAAACCCTAGACCCTTGGGGTGGGGGAGGGGGTGGGGGGGATGGGGGGCGGGGGGGATGGCGGAGAGGGCTGAGGCGAAGGAGGAGACCGACCTGCGTTTGCACTTCTGAAAAAGCCCGAGGCGACTTCTGCAAAACCTAAACCCTAAACCCTAAACCCTAAACCCTAAACCCTAAACCCTAAACCCTAAACCCTAAACCCTAAACTGGGGTTATAAGTCGGGCAACTATGGCCATGACCTTCCTTTTTGGGGTACTTATATAAAACGCGACTAACACCAGTACTCATGAACCTCCAAGAAAGGCGTTATGAAATCTTGTACACCTCAAACAGCCCTGCAATCCCAGGAAAACGAGAACCTGCCAAGAAGTGGATAGGAAGAACATCGCCAAGAAAGCCTAACACGTGAGAGATGCTGGCCCTACCCTACGTACCATTACGAACCCTAAACCCCAAGCCCTAAGCCCTAAACCCTAAACCCTAACCCTAAACCACAAACCCCAAACCCCAAACCCCAAACCCCAAACCCCAAACCCTAAACCCTAAACCCTAAACCCCACTGGCGGAGGCCTCCCCGCGCTCTCCAGCGCCGACAGGGCGCTGATCCCGCCAGAGGTCTTGGCGGATCCGGCTCCTTGTTCTTCTAGGGTTTAGGGTTTAGGGTTTAGGGTTCAGGGTTTAGGGTTTAGGGTTTAGGGTTCAGGGTTCAGGGTTCAGGGTTTAGGGTTTAGGGTTCAGGGTTTAGGGTTTAGGGTTTAGGGTTTAGGGTTTAGGGTTCATCTGGGTAGAAGTCTTGGTAGCCCAGTGGTACCCTTTTCCCTTTTTTTGGTTTAAGGTTCCCTTAGAAATTAACCAACCAAAAAGGGGTGCCCTTATTATAAATATGGTTACTAGGGTACCAAGTCTTGCAATTCAGGCTATTGAGCCGGTGAGGTCAAGAATAGAGCGTGATACTTGAAGAGGCTACTGGTATAAGCCCAAGTAGAACTGTACTTACAAGCCCCTAAGTCCTCTAAGTAGGTTATATGTAGGCTTATAATTAGGGGTCAGAAGTGCCCATGAACCTCCGAGTGTGATTTCATACAATATATCATCTAACAATATACCATACTGTAAATATTATATAGCAATAGCAGATATACCAGCCGAATATCATCTAGTCCAATCTATAGCCCCCTTACAAATCTTTTATTTGAATTTGTGTAAAACCCAAAACAGCTAAACTACTAGTGTAATTGCATTACTATGGTTCTCAGTCGAGTAGAGTAGTATGTTACTTTATCATGTTTAAGGCTTTGCCCCTTATATAGGGTACTCATAAACTGATCACACCTTCCACGAGGTGTGGAACATCGCTGGTGTCGGCGCCATCCTCCGCAGGTCACCAGCGGACCAGAGCACCTGCGTAGCTCGGCCGGCACCAGCGCGCAACGGGAAGGAAGACGGGTTTGGGTGAGGTTCATGGTACTTCATAACCCACTTATAAGCCCCTTAAGTGCCCTAAAAGGGTTATAAGTACAGTTAGAAGTCTATAGTCAAAATTGTTTAGTAAGTACCATGAACCTCCAAGTAGGATTTGTGGATGAGGGGGTGGGTGTTTGGGCTAGGCTATGTAAGTTCTGGAGGTGATTACAGGGTTCCAGATGGGTTTAGGGGCTCTTGCGCCTCTCAGCAAGAAGAGGCGTTTGTTGCTGCGTGTTGCACCTGAACCCACGCCCTGTTCTGCGGCCGACAGCTGCGCATGCAAGTCCCAGCTGGTTTACATCTGATATTCAAGGAAGCTTGTCGACCAGTACCTCACTCAAAAACTAGACAAACAGCACTGCCACGCCGTACACGGCCGAAGCTCTGCTTAGTGTAATATAGGCGCTTTTAGAATAGTGATAATAGAAGGGTGTAGGGGGGTTATGATAGTATAACTATGCAGGAACACTAGTAGTAATTAT